GGCCCCTTCTGCGGCGCGCCCGACGATCCATTTGCATTTTAAAGCGTCTAGTTTGGGCGCGACCGGGTCCAGGCTTCGAGATGATCCTCTCCCAATGCGGAATCAAATTCCATCCCACCTGCGGCCACGTGTCAGGATTTCCAATTGGAGTAAAATTCCAATTAGAAAATTGATTAACCCAGTTCTCCGTCCAAAAGTAGGGATTATACAACGACACCGGTTGATCACCCCGGTGACGACATACTCGAATTGCATGAGAGCATGGTTTTCGATGTGTCTGCCACTTCCTACATGCACAACGCTGCTGCTCATAAAAGACCTTAAACCTATTTTCAACAATGATTTATATATATAAATTAGAAAAAAAAATAAACTCATTTGAATGGAAAAAAAAATACAATTACAAAATACATACTTGTTTTGCCCTCTTCCATTGGCGTGTAGACCGGTTGTCACCATGTACTGGGATCCGTCGGCGTCCACACAATGCACCTCGTGAGTCACCGCCGTCTTTTCCAACTCCCGATAGGCGGCATAGAGGTCGGTAGGAATGGGAGTCCTGCATCCTCTGGACTTCTTTTGTTCCTGTTCAAACAAATCCAGAGTCTTGTTCAATGTGGACTGTACCAACGCTCTGCAGGGCAGGAACCTAACACCTTTGAGGACATTGTTGTAACTCTCTGACATATTCGTTGTCAGAGTTCCCCATCGACGTCCTCCATCTTTATACAGGGTCCACTTTTCAAGAGGAATTTTGAAAAGGTAATCGTATGCGTCCGGGTTACATTGATGGAGTTCCTGTCGACTCTGCTCAAATTTGCGGCGAGTACACAGTGAACCCAACCTCCAACACAAACCCCGGACTTGTTTATTCCGGTACCTTGAAAACACGTTGCTCCGGAGGTGTCGAAGGCATATCCGATGAAATGCATGGGGTTCGTGCCAAGTCTCCAGTAATTCAACAGCACTCAATATGTCGTTGTCCCTGTCGGAAAGAAGACATATCGATCTGCCGGGGACGACATGATGGCGCAGATGTGTTAGGAAAAAGGACCAGCTAGCCGTGCTTTCTTCGTCCACAATCGCATACGCGACTTGCAATAGACGCTTATTCGCGGTCTGTGCTATGGCAACAAGCAGCTTCCCCTTGTACGAACCTGCCCAGTTGGACATATGTTTTTTTTATGAGACACTATTGTAAATTAGAAAATAAAATATTAATTTGCAATTAACAAGTAGTTTCCCCTTGTACGAA